TGTGTGTGTGTGTGTGTGTGTGTGTGTGTATGTAATTAAAACAACCAAAACATCTTTTTTAAAAAAACAGTACATACTGTTCTTTTTAAAAAATGCTGGTCATGACCATCCAAATTGATGTCATGACCTACAGTTTGAAAAAAATTGCCCTGAGGTGATAGGTGATAATGTCAGAATCTTGGGAGAGGGTAAGATTTTTAAGTTTATCGAAAAACAAGCATTTTTAGAAGAGTTGACCGTGTCCTTAAGAGTGCAGACATAGTTTGCTCTTTATTTTCTTTAGGGTCTCTGCTATATTTCTTTCTTTTATTCCCACTTACATGGACAATGAGTGAGATTGCAAAGCCAGTTTACTACATACAGTATGTGGAAATCTTAGATGATATACTACGGAAAGTTGGTAAATTGCAGGTACATGGTTCCATTGTTTAAACCTAAATTAATCTAACAACTCATTAAAATCTTGTTTCATAAATAGTTTATCATGTGGTTTTTAGTTCTATCAGGTCAATTTTACACCCCATTGTAAATGCAGGTTCCAGTTCTTAGCTCACCTGGCTCACAGGGAAGCAAAGTCCTATTTTCCCTACATACTTGAGACCTCATCCTCCCATACAGGATGGTTCACATTCCACTCAGTCTCTTGAAATCCCAAGCAGTGATATTCTCTTGTCACCTCCACCCACCCACCCATCAACATACTTTGCCACTGGCTTCTCTTGCTGGCCTTCCACTTAAACTGCTTTTTAAAGTAAAGCTTTCTAAGAGTGCCTCTCTCTTCTTTTCTCCTAGATCCTGCTCCCACAGCTCCTGTATTCTGCTTCTTTATACAGATTCATTTCCTCTGTCTCTTGGCAGCTTCCTCTGCATTATCGTTGCTTTTTTTCTCTTGCACTTTGGTTGGCAATTTGAATCCTTTCGATTTCAGCCACCACTGCTTTGGTTTTTTCTTAGTCCTTTTAAACCCTGAGAGAGGGAAAGTGACTTGCTTAGCTTACCTTTTTGCACCAGATGGCCCTAGGTCTGGGACCCACTCTTTCTTCGGTCATTCGTTTTTTGGTTACTTTTGGAAGGAGATGTGTGGCATCTCCAGGGAACTTATTAAAGAAGATGTACTCGGGAGAGAAGGTAGAAAATGGGTTCTCTCTAGTTGAACTTCAGGTTCAACATCATCTTTATTTTAATGTTCAGAGTCCTGGTAGATGACAATACAGGTCTACACAAGTGATACATTATGCAATCAACCAATCCATCCATTTCACAAATGGGAGTGACTGCTTTGTGAAGCGAAGTCTCTAGATGAGGAACTATCATGGGATTCCTTCAAACAGCAAATTCTCTTTTCATATATGCAAAATAACTCATTTTACAAAGGGTGATTACCTGTGGCTTTCTCTTAGGGAAAGGAAATGAGGCTTCTTTCATCACAATCATACGCCTTACAGTTTCTATACAATACTCAGTCCAGTTCATTGATTTACATTCTTAAGTATATAAAAACCTTTTTTCCCCTGGCTTATTTATAGTTGCATCCCATGGGCAAATATCCTTTACTCAGCATCTCCTTTTACTTCCTTACTTTGATTCTTGCTTGCTTTTCTTTTTTTCTGTTTACTCCTACACCATTCCCCTCCCCCCCACACCTCATTTTAGTCAAATTTGCTTTTGCTATTTTTGTGTACTTCATAGGTGGACATCCAAGGACATTGATGGATGAGGCTCCAGTCAAGGGTCTGTAGTGTGAAAGCAGCCACATCCAAGCTCCCATAGCACAGAAATACCAGTAACACTGTTGCTCAGTTGTACTGTGTATGCTTACTATATTATGCAAGTGATTATAAGCCTCAGTTCAGCCTATACCCCAAAACAGCTCAATAAATTGGAAGACTTGGTTTCTTTTTATTTTATTTTTATTTTAGGTTCAGGGGATGTGTGCAGGTTTGTTATACAGGTAAACTTGTGTTATGGGGGTTTGCTGTACAGATTATTTTGTCACCGAGGTACTAAGCCTGGGACCCAATAGTTATTATTTCTGATCTGATCTCTTCCCACACTCCACCCTTAAGTTGGCACATGTGTCTGTTATTTCCCTCTTCGTGTCCACGTGTTCTCATCATGAGGTCCCACTTCTAAGTAAGAACGTGCTATTTGATTTCCTGTTCCTGTGTTAGTTTGCTAAGGCTAATGGCCTCCAGCTCCATCCATGTTCCCACAAAGGACATGGTCTTGTTCTTTTTTTTATGGCTGCATAGTATTCCATGGGACATTTATGCACTGTTAGTGGGAGTGTAGCTCAACTGTTGTGGAAAGCAGTTTGGCAATTCCTCAAAGAGATAAAAACAGAACTACCATTCAACCCAGCAATCCCATTACTGGGTAAATACCCAAAGGAATAGAAATTATTCTACCATAAAGATACATGCACTTGTATGTCCATTGAAGCATTTTTCACAATAGCAAAGACATGAAATCAACCTAAATGCCCGTCAATGACAGATTAGACTGGGCATCTTAAGGAAATATATTTTGTTGTTGTTGTATACAATGGCTTGACTCATTAACTCCTTAAGTCATTCCCCACATTGACTCGTTTTCTGTTACCTTCACTTTGATGTTATGTCAACATCTGAGCATATTTAAAATTGAATTTCTCACATTCTTAAATTATACTCCCCTTCCAGCTTCTCTACTGATAACGATGATGATGAACATGACCGCCTTTCACTTGTCCAACACATTGCAGCTTTCTTGCACATCATCTTATCCGTGCCTTACAAAACTACTATGTGGTGAGCAGAGGCACTTTGCAAATGAGATGAGTAGGCTAAGAGGGGTTAAGCTGTTTGTTCAAAGTGGTAGGGACAGGTTTTCTAACTCCCAGTGCTATGCTTTAAGCTCAGGGCCACTACCCTGCCCCGCAAGCTGATAACCTCATGGCTCTTTCTGTTCCTTTTCCTCTCGCACGTCCATATCTAACCCATCAAACACTTCTCCTAATTTTCCTTCTACACTGTCTCACACTTACCATGATCAGAGAAGTTCAACAGCTGCCCTTTTGGTCCAGGCCCTCGTCTGCTCATTCGTTAGTCACTGCGAGCATCTCCTGTTTTCCATCATTCTATTCTTTTCTGCTTCAATTCATTCAAAAGACATTTGTTAGAATATTGTTTGTTTTGCATATTTTCTCTCTTTCATATCTTCCCTCCCCCTCTTTTTTTTTGCTGTGTGCATTTTGAGGTATAATTCTGGCTTCCTATTAGACTGGAATGAAGGGTCCATATAGCAGTTGTCGGGACAGCTAGCACTACCTTGGTAATTCCCATGGCCCATTTGAATAGTAAATATCTGTGGATAATTGGAAATATCATGTGTGAATATGTTGCTTTCGTGGTATCACTTCTTTGTGGCCCACATCAGCTTTCTATCCTATTTTGGAAAATGCAAACCCTGCAGGTCCTATATCCAAGACTGTCTATTAACTGAATTTGCAGACCCTGCCCTAAGTATCAAGGTAATGTAGTATTTATGCCATCTGTCCCAAATTCAAGGGTGCTTGTAGCCAGGAGCCTCCCTTTAGGGGAATAAATGATGTATATCTATAAATGTTGGTGATGCCAGAAGTCGCCCAACTAATATGAAAAGAAGCAACACGTACTATGTACCTTTTTGATGCCACCAACAACTCTAGTATTTTACCTACTTTATCTAATTGAATGCCAACATCAACCCTGCAAAGCAGTAAAGCACAGGGGTGGGGTGCAGGGAATCCCAGGGGGGCCGACAAACCTAGGCTCATCCCAGAGTTCTGACAGATCTATAAGCGTCTGAAAGTCTGGTGGGAGGAGATCTACTTGCTTGAAGAATCAAAGAAATCCAGAGAGAGAGCTCATTCTAAGGACAATGGGGCAAATTTGGGTGAAAGAGGAAGGGATGTCATGAATATTGTAAGCTGCTTGTCACTAACATTATATGCTGGCTCTGCTCTGGGGGTTTCTGCCTTAGTCTAGTGAGATTGAATAAAAGAACAGAAGCAAACAAACAAAGCCACTTCACTTGAAAGCTATTAAGGTGAGATAGTATGACCTGAAACACCCTTGCTGGGCAGCATACGTGGCAGAGCCATGGGGCTCTGGAAGGTACCGAGAGCACACAGTGATCTGGGAGCATGAAGGCGTTGGGAACCCGCAGCCTCAGCCCAAGCCTTGACCATCTGGCCACAGACTTCACTCCAGGGTGCCAGAGGCAGAAAACAGGGAAATACAGACGCTATTGGCTGCTTGGACAAATATAGTGCTTTAAGAATACATTAAAAAGGGCTGCGCCCGGTGGCTCACGCCTGTAATCCCAGCACTTTGGGAGGCCGAGGCGGGTGGATCACGAGGTCAAGAGATCGAGACCATCCTGGCCAACATGGTGAAACCCCATCTCTACTAAAATACAAAAATTAGCTGGGCATGATGGCACACGCCTATAGTCCCAGCTACTTGGGAGGCTGAGGCAGGATAATTGCTTGAACCCGGGAGGCAGAGGTCGCAGTGAGCCGAGATCGCACCACTGCACTCCAGCCTGGCACCTGGCAACAAAGCGAGACTCTGTCTGAAAAAAAAAAAAGAATACATTAAAAAAAAGAAGAGGCCAGGTGTGGTGGCTGACACTTGTAATCCAGCACTTTGGGAAGCCGAGGCAGGTGGATCACAAGGTCAGAAGATCAAGACCATCCTGGCCAACAGAAACCCCGTCTCTACTAAAAATACAAAAAAATTAGCTGGGTGTGGTGGTGTGTGCCTGTAATGCCAGCTACTTGGGAGGTTGAGGCAGGAGAATCACTTGAACCCAAGAGGCAGAGATTGCAGTGAGTCGAGATCACGCCACTGCACTCCAGCCTGGTGACAGAGTACATATGAGACACCTACTGTCTCCATGTTACATGCCCCTTTCTCACTCCCAGAATGATTTGGGAGGAAATCAAAGGCCTATTTCACAAATATTGGGGAAGAAGCAGGACCAGGGAAATGATAACTATTAAAAAAACATTAAAAAAAATAATAGAGACAGGTACTTGCTATGTTCCCCAGGCTGGTCTTGAACTTCTGGACTCAAGCAATCCTCCTGCCTCAGCCTCCCAAGTAGCAGGGACTACAGATGCACACCACCAGGCTCAGCTAATTTTTAAATTTTGTGTAGAGACTGGTCTCACTGTGTTGTCCAGGCTGGTCTTGAACTCTTGGGCTCAAGCAATCCTCCTGCCTTGGACTCCCAACTTTCTGGGATTACAGGCATGAACCACTGGGCCAGCCACTATTATTATGTTTGTTGGCATAATTTGAATTACTATCTATTCTCACACTGGGCTGGGATGGCCTGGGAAGCAGATCACAAATATATTTTCATCTCCATTATACATGACAAAC